CTTGAGGCATGTAAGAAGCATTTTCAGGCAAAAGTCAGCTTCTCAAATAACACAAGCTGTTGCAATGGAGGAGAAAACACCAATTCCCCCATTTTACAGCCATTTGCCACTGTTTTATCTGAACTTCTTGTGGTGCCAGCATGCATGTGAAAAGCCACCGCTATGTTTTGGGCCTTTTCCCCTCTTAGTTCATCATGAGAACTTAGAAATGGTAGTGACAGCAATGATAGCTATAGAACTGTTGTATGTACTGTGACAGGGTTCAAGGGTGAGCGGGACCACTGGCGGAGCGGGCGGACGATCTGCATCAAAACCCACGAGAGTGGCCAGAAGGAAATCGAGGCCTTTGATGCTGCCATCTTACTGATCCGCAACCCCTACAAGGCACTGATGGCAGAGTTCAACCGCAAATACGGGGGGCACATCGGCTTCGCTGCACATGCCCACTGGAGGGGCAAAGGTAGGATTGTGCTGATCCATGCATAGCCAACCCATGGTGCCACCGTGTAGCCTCTCTTGGGGTGAGGAGCATCCTGTAGGCTTGCAACCAGTAGGGTTATTGTGCAATTGTATAATCATTAAGGTTGGAAAAGACCTCTAGGATCCTCAAGCCCCACCATCAACCCATCACCACTGTCTCCACTTGTAGAATATAGAATCATTAATATTGAAGACCTCCGAGATCACTGAGCCCAACCTGCCCTCCCCATGCCCATTGTGTCCCCCAGTGACAGATCTCCACAGTTTGAGAGGATGGTGACCCTACCTCCCTGGGCAGCCTGTGCTGAGGAATCACCACTCTTTCTGAGAAGATATTTTTCCTAATTTCCAACCTGACTCTCCCCTGACCAAGCTTCAGTGCTTCAATGTCTTTCTTGTAGTGAGGAGGTTGGGTGTGAGGGAAGAAATTCTGCCTCTCACAAGCAGCTCTACAAGGCAAAGAGCCTCAATGCACATGTCTTGGTGCACAGAGAGGAAGAAGAGATTAAAAATTAATGGCACTGGTGAAATATTTCCACGTGTCACCACAGAGCTGGGACAGTCAATGCTATGCTACCACCAGCACAAGGACACCCTCCTCAGGGCAGGGTGAAAATAGTACCATAGCTGCTTATGGTAAATTCCATCCCCTTCCCTTGGGCCATGCCAGCAGGTTCAGCATGCCCGGCTGCCACCTTCCCGTGCACAGACAGCTTGCAGAGGCTTGTTAATTATAGCAATTTACAAATTGCTGTTGTGGAATTGACTTCATTGGAAAGAGTTAAAATATTTAGCTTGATTGAACATCTGCTACCCTTAATTCAGAGTTTATTTAAGGGGATCTTTTTCTGTTGTTGCAGTGATGTGCCTGGATTTCGTTATTACCATGTGCTTGATGCCAACAAAAACATTTTGGTTGTGAACTGAGCCCTCCCTAGCATCCAAACACCCCCAGCACCCACAGGGAAGCCCCCTGAGCTCCAGCCCCATGCAGCTGGGTACATCATGTCCCACTGTCATCTCATTTGTACCCACTGCTGTGGGGTACAAGAATTGCTCCTGGTTCATACCCAACCCAAAGAGGATGCGTGTTTTAATGTGTCTTTACCTCCTGGGTCAATTGTCAGATTAGTTAAGCTTTTGCTAGGCTTGCTTAGAAAGGTGAAGGTCTGCCATCACTTGAGGTCTTTAGTTGGGTTGAGGTTTGCCTAGAAGCATAGGTCACCATGGTCCATGAGCCCAAGTTTCTCCTGCAGAAAGTCCTGATCTCCTCAACATCCCACTCTATTTCCTTCTCTGATTTTGGGGGAAATTCAATAGATGTTGGAAAATGCTGGATGTGGCCATGGGCAGCCAGGGTTTTGCTACAAGCAAGCAGAGCCTGAAGGCTCAGCAAAATCCCTATTTTTTTCCATGACATTAATTTTATGATGTCCCTGGAGCAGTTCCAAAGCAAAGTTTTATGTGATATGATTACACAAGGTGAATTGTCCTGTATCTGTTTAATGAAAGAGATACTGTGTTTAATGATTCTTTGGGGAATTAAATACAGTTCAGCTATTAATCAGGCATTGGTTTCTTGGGGAAGAGAGGAAGAGGCAGATGCCCAGAACGTCATGCATCATGAGCCATGCACAGAGTGCATTTCCAGGAGCGTTGTTTCTTGTTATCGATGTTTATTATCCTTTTTATCCCAATTTTTATGCAGAGATCAATTAGCCAAGCAACTGGGGCTAAGTGAGGCATGCCAGTGTCCCAGGAGATGTTTTACCTTGTTAAGTCCCTATAGACCAAGCCACCAGAGCAGGCAGATAGTAACACAAGGATCCCAGGGCCACTTAATGCTCACCCTTACTGTCCCCATGCTCCTTGCAGAGTGGCCAGAGTTTGTGGCCAACTACGCACCGTGGTGGGCGACCCACACGCTGGATTGGCTGCGCTTTGGCAGGAAGGTGCTGGTGGTGCACTTTGAGGACCTCAAGCAGGACCTCTTCAAGCAGTTGAAGCGCATGGTGGGGCTGCTGGGCATCGCCGCCTGCGAGGACCGCCTGCTGTGCGTCGAGGGGCAGAAGGATGGCAACTTCAAGCGCTCGGGTTTGAGGAAGCTGGAGTATGACCCCTACACCCCTGAGATGAGGAAGATGATCAGTGGATACATCCGAACGGTGGACGCAGCTCTGAAGCTCCGCAATCTATCGGGGGTGCCGGATGACTACTACCCGAGGTGACGGTGATGCTCGGGGGACCTGCCCCTGCCTGGGGAGGAAAGGATTGATTTCCTCTACCTGCTTCCACCCAGTGGGTGGCTTTCTTGTAATTCTCCATCTGCTGCTATGAGCTGTTAATCAACCCCCTGCATGAGAAGCGCTCGCTCCCCAGCCATTGCTCAGCTTGCTTGGTTGATATCTTCACAGAGCTGGGCAGCAAGGGGACGCATGGTGCCCTGCCACCTCTGCTGGTCCCTGTCCCCATCCTGCAGGTGGGCCCCTGCCCTGCTGGACATTGTGGGAGTAGGTAAATTGGGTGGTGTGGGGCCGAGCAGCTCCATCTTACTCCTACATTGGCTGCTGCAGCATCCTTAGCAGTGCAAGCAGCTGTTTGCTTGCATGGATGCTGTGATATTGGGGCCCTGCCCCCCCTGGGGCATGAGTTGGCTTTGGTGGCTGTCCCTATGCTTTGTGCACTTGCAGAACAGCTCCTCTGGGTCTCCAGTAGAGATGGAGATAACTCCAACAAGGGGGAAACACAGTGTGGGGGGCAGCACTGCAGGATGCACTGAGGTGAGGTGGTCATGATGCACTGGTTGGGTTGTCTCTGGGTTCTTTGGGAGCCACCTCTGTGTGTGGTGATTGGAGCACTGACTCTGGATGGAGCAGCATGCAGCGCCTGTGGGAGCATCCATTCCTCATTGCAGAAGTTCCCAAGCCAGAACAAAAAAACCTAGGGAGTTGTTTTGGGTGAGGGTGAAGGAATGGGGGTCTGGATGAGACCAGCTCCAAGTCCTGACTGTGACACTGAGGGCCTGGGCATGGAGCACAGCTTCTGCCCTGGCCACGGGGAAGGAGGAAACCAAAGGAGCTCTGTGTCTGGAAAGCATCTGTAAAGCTGGCTCTGTTTAGGGCTGCATGCTGCCCCAGACACCTCAACACAGCTGGGTCCCTACCTTCCCTCAGATGGATGGAGATGCAAAAGCCATATCTTGTCTGCAGCCTTTTCTAGAGTTAAATGCTCAATGGTTGGCTTTTAACTCTTGATAGTGAGAGATGTGTGCACAGGTCCAAAATCTACAGGAAGCAGTTAACCTACACTCAAAGAAAAAGAAGAAAACTCTACTGGATAAGGAGATTATCAATAAAATATATTTTTCTAACGTGCGTGCGGAGCTGACAGCGCCTAAGGAGGGGGGGGGGGGTGTCTCTGTGCACGGGGAGCCACTCACCCATGAATGTATTTTGCAAAGAGTGTGCTGGTGTTCCCTGTCCTGCACTGCAGGCTGGTGGCTGCCTACCTCTGTCAGAACAAATCCTCAGGTCAACCCAGCTATTAAAGAGTTCTGTTGCTACCCTGCCTCCCCGTGTGTTTGTGAGGCTGTGATCTCAAGGCTGGCTGGTGACACTCGGTCCCAGCGTTAATTGCATTAATGACATCCCTGCATTCGGAGCACTGATGAAGCAGCTCGGTCCTGGCAGCTTTCCTACCCTGCCAGTGTCCTTAAAGGAAGGTTTATTTGGGTGCCCCATGTGAGCAGAGAGATTTACTGCCAACTTTATTTCCATTGCCTCTTATCATGCCTGAGGCTCTATAAAAAGAATGGTTTTGGTGGGATTTGTGCTGCACTGGCAGCAAGGAGACCATGTTTGGGGTATCATTGGCTCTGCCCAGCATCAGCTCTGAGAGGCACAGCAATCCTAAGTAGTAAAAAATCTCTTTTCTGCAATGTCTGCTAGCTCTGTCAGCAGCTATAGGCTGGATGGGTTGCCCTGGTAACAGTGCCTGCACCAAAACTGCCTGCATTTCCCCCAATTCTGTGTGGGTTTGGTGCACAGCCAGCAGCAGTGGGAGGGAATAGGGATCTGATAGCATGGGTATGGGGATGGGACAAGGATGGGGATGGAGATGGGAATAGGAATCTAATAGCATGAGGGTGGGGATGGAACAAGGATGGGGATGGGAAACGAATAGGCATGGGATGGGAATGGGAAGGGATAGGCTAGGGAGTGTTTTTCTTCCCAGCCATGCCAAAGGCATTTTCTTGGGATGAATTGAGCCCTCAAGCAGGACTCCTCTTCCTCCTAAATTAAATTGCACACTAAGCTCATGCTGCTCCTTGAACAGGGGGGAGAAAGCACCTAAAGCAGCATAACACAGAAGCTGTGACAGCACTTTTACAAAAGCTATAAAATGTATGGGAGATGAGAGTGATAAATCTGAGCAGCAGTAATATTCACCTCCTACAAAAGAAGCATGTTTATTTATCGTTTTTACTATTTTCTGTAAAATTTACAGTTGATGATCTGCCTGAATGCAGTGGGGGATAATTTAAACATGTCTCCGGCCTGCCTGGAGCTGGGGAGAGGGAGATGATAGCATGTTTATTCTGGTTTTTTTTGTTGGTTTTTTTTTTTCTTTCCCAAAATCCATTTCCAAATAAAGGGTGAGATTTACCGGGGAAGTAAAGCACAGCTTTATTTCAAGGCTCTGACAGCTAATTGAAAAAGAACAGTCATTAAAGGATGGTAATGTGTTCTACAGAAATGATTTTGGTATATTCTGCAGTAATTTCCCAAATGGCTGCGTGAAATGAAACCCAGACCAGAAGCTGTGAAGAGATGGAAGAAAGTGGGGTCCTGGGGGTGATGACTGAAGGTCCCAGGGAAGGGAACTGGCAACACAGGGATGGAGATGGGTGTCCCCAGGGAAGGGAGATTGTGGGTTCAATGGATGTATAGGGTGGTCCAGGAATGGTGATGAGGGTCCCAGGTCTGGGGGCCCAGTACCTAGATCTCTCCTGTCCAGCAGTGTGCTGCCATAAAACCTTCAGTCCTAAATGTACCCAGTGCATGTGTGCCAGATTCCATCCCCAACACATGGAGCTGCAGTGGGAGTTGGGTGGGATGCTCAGCACTCCCAGTCCACCACTGAGCCTGCTGCTGTCGTTAATGACTCCCATTTTAATCAGCAGAACAGAGCGTTCCTCAGAGTCCATCTGACAGAAAACACGTTGGGATGCCACAAGCATGGGGGAGGACTCAGTCAGCTTTATCTTTTCCTTTCCTAAAGAGACATTTGGGTCCTCCGTGACCAAATTAAAGAGGTGACAATGATAATGGGATGCTGCTAGGGCTGTCACAGCCCAAAGGCATGAAGTGACTCCAGTCTGACCCTACTGTTTCCCTGTCTTTCCCCAGTTTAGCACTGAGAATCATTAATAAGATCTGGGACGAAGCTGAAAAGCTTGCAGTCATTCCCTGCTTCAACACATAGAGGGGTATTTGTATGTAAAACAGGTTTCACTTTAAATAGGCAAACATCTACGAAGATGAATGCAAATATTAGTTTTCCAAAGCTGTCTGTAATGATAATTTAACCCAAGGTTATGTACCAAGTCACCAAGGTTTGGGAAAGTTGTTTGCAGGGATAACAGACGGGCTTGCAAAACTCAGCTACCAAAAAACACAGTGGGAGCATTCCTGTTCCTGCTGGGGGCAGGAATGGGGACATGGCTGTGTTCCCCCCATACTGTACGAAGTGCTTGCCCTTTTTTGATTTTTGTTTGTAATTAATATCCCAGTTTTTGTGCATACCTGTGAGCAGAATAAGTGCTGGGATTCCCAGGGACACCCAATGTGCCCCCCTAACCATGAGTATATGGCCCTTCCTCCTTCTCCTGGGAACTGCAGGCACTGTGGGTGACATGAAGAAATCAGCCCATAAATAAGGGTAACACCAGTGTCCACCTCCTTGTCACTACCAAGAAGCCCAACTCGTGAATTACCTCCCAAATTAACTGTGCATGAAATTGGATAGAGACACTGGTTCGACTGGCCATTACCAGAGCACTCTGCAAGGATCCTCCAGGACACATCTCTCTCTTTTTGCTGCCAGCTTTCCACTTGGTTGAGCCCATGAACCATCCCACGTCCCTGTGGCACTGCTTTGCTGGGCAGAACGGAGGCACAGAATCAGCTCTGCAATAGGGCTGAGCCCTTGGGTGAGCATTGTGTTTATTGCAGCGTTCTCTGCTGGGTACACAGTGCTCACATCACAGTTAGAAACATTGCTCTAGTACCAGTACATGTCAGGATTTAAAATAAGTGGCTATATGCATACATGGGGCACAGTCACTGTATTGCCATGGTGGGTGGCATCCACCCACCCAGGAAGCCAAGGTGCCCCCTCAGACACATCCCATAATAATATATTCACCTGCTTTCCCTTATTGCTTTTTTGTTTGTCTTTGTCACAAGACTGTCCAGCACATGCTGTCCTCACAGTGCACCCCATAACCCAGCTCTTGTCACCTCCAGCTGGGACAGATTGTCCATCCGTGGGCACCTCCAGGCAGCAGAGACTGCTGCTTACATCTCCTCCAAGCTGCAGATGTCTCTGGAAAATAAAAGAGGGCCCCGGCCAAGGAGCACAGGCCACACACACAGAGGTCTCCATGCCTAGGCAGTGTAATCAGTCAGAGCATGCACTGTTTGCATGAGACCATGCCCATTCCACCATCATGGTGCTGAACATGGGTGGCCCCGGAGGACTGTGGCCATCCCATGAGCATCCAGACTTAGAGGACAGTTGTCTCCTTTTCGGTCATCGAAGACATCTTGGAGAAGCTCCTGTGCACGATGCTGGAGTGGCCCGTCTCCTCACTGAGTGCATTCACCAGCCTGGAAAGGATGGTCACCTTGAACTTCTTGAAGTCCTGGCCCATGAAGACATAGAGGACGGGGTTCATGCAGCTGTTGGAGGCAGCGAGTGCCGTGGTGATGGGGATGCCAATCTCAAATACAGAGCGTGGGACCAGGTCAGGCTCAGTTTCCAGGATGTTCAACAGGTGGTAGGGGCTCCAGCACAGGAAGAAGGTGACGATGATGGTGACAATGATCTTGAAGGGCTTCTTGGACTTGGCGAGGCGATTTCGACGCAGGTTGAAGGCAATGGAAATGTAGCAGAAGGTGATGATGGTGATGGGCAGGAGGAACCCAGCAAAGAGCCTGGTGATGTTCACTGTTCGGTGTCTCACTAGTGCCAGTGCTTGGTAAGACCTATTTCTGGACAGGGAGAAGTTGCTGAAACAAATGATAGAGTTGCGAGCTTGTGCTGTATCTCGGAAGACAAGAGAAGGGCAGCTCATGATGATACCAACCATCCAGATGATCAGGCAAACCATGCATGCCAGGTTGGTCGACCGATGGTTTTGAGACCAGACGGGAAAAACCACCGACACATAGCGATCAAAGCTGATGGTGGTGAGCAGAAGAACACTGGTGTACATGTTGAGGATGAGGAGGAAGGAGTTCAGCTTGCACATGACGGTCCCGAAGATCCAGTTGTAGCGCATGGCTGTGTACGCAATGTTTATGGGTAGGAAGATGTTGAAGAGGAAGTCGGCGACGGCCAGGTTGAGAAACCAAATGGCATTGACTGACTTCTTCATTTTCAGAGTGATGATGGCTATGACAAGGCCATTCCCCAGGATGCCCAGCACACAGGACACACTGTAGATGACAACTGAGAGGATCCTCGCAACGTCCTTTGGGTCATAGGATGGGCCTGTCCACACGCTGCCTGGCTCTTCATAGGTGTAATCCAAGTAGTCATAGATGTCAGAGTCATCAGAGTAATCAGATAAATTGGAAAGCGCCATGGTTGGTGCACAAATCAGTGTCCAGTCAGTCTCAGCCTCTCCAGATGGCAATGCCCTGCTAAGCAAACACAGTGTTAGATCAAAGCATGGCTAGGATGACCCTGGAAACTCTGGGGCATCCCTTGGGTCCAGCTCAGTTGCTGGGGCTTGTCTGGAATGTTTATGTGCTGATCAGGAGAAGCACCAGCTCTGGGAGCTGCTGAGCTCATCTTGGTTGTGCTCACCAGGACATGGCTGCAGCCTTACTCACAAAAGCAGGTCTGTTGCCTACTTATTCCCAAGGAAACAATTACTATTAGGCTTACTAACAGCTTTGAGATTTTCCAAACTGCAAAGTACTACAGCTTTTCTCTTTCTTTCTCCCAAGCACTGAGCAAAATGCTAACTGTGAGCACTATATTTGCCACTAGCCAAAACTGGGCTCTGCCAGCCATTAAGCATGTTCACTGCTCCCTGCTAACAGCTCCGGGGCTCTGCACCTCAAACCCATCCAGGCTGTGCAGTGCTGAACTGAGCATCGTCCTCCTGCCAGCACCACTCCCAAGCCCCCATGTGTTTACACAATAAGCTATTGTTTCTCCATGGGCTTTTCCTCAAGTTCCTTCCCAAGCAGCCCCACCGCTCTCTGCCCTTTCCTGCCCTCAGTGGCACTCCCATCGGGATGCAGAGATTTGAGGGTGAACAAATCCTCAAGCAAGCAGCTGGTGGGCATCCCATCCATGTCACAGTCTATGGATTTCACAGCCAAAAGGTTGCTTAGTGCATCCTAGTCCCCTCATGGAGCCCCAGGAGAGGTGCTCATGGGACAGGACACCAATTACAGCCCTGAGCTGGCCCTGCCCCTGCACACCCTTAGCACATGGCTTCACCTCCCCAAAAGCGAAGCTGTGGGTTACACAATGCTGCTCCATCCCCATTTCCCACAGGGATCCCACTTCTCAACCCCTGGCATTCCCCCCTCTTCAAGTTGTACCCACTCACCCATTTTTCATGGAAAAATCTCTCCTGTACCATCACTTTCCAATGTGATGACATTCAGCTCAACATTTCAAAGCTGTGCTTTATGGACCATTGATTGGAATTGCCTGTTTGTTTTGCTCTCCCTCCCCTTTCCCTCTCAGTTTTTTTAACACTGATGTGCAGGACATTCCCCAGACCCAGCTGAAAGCAGTGCTACAGGACATGCTCTGCATGGTTGTGCTGCAGCCATGAGCACCAGTGCCAGGACAAGCAAGGGGCACCTGGCCCCATCCATACCAGCCTGGGCTTGAGAAACCCCAAGTCCATTTCTTCTCCCTTTTGCAAATACCCCATAAAGTGTGTCTGAAAAAGCAAAACAGCAACAAAACAAAACCAACAAACTAAACCCACACATCATCATGTTTCAACGTTCCTTCTGGGCTGCAAATGCTTAGCATGAGCCAAAACCACGTTATGCGCTGTTCTCTATTCATCTCTGTCCTCCTACCTCCGCAAAAATGAGCACAGGATCTGCCCCAAATAATCCAAAAGCTGTAATTCACACAGCTGTGCTCAGCCAGGGACCCCCATAGGGCTGAGCTCGGGGCGGCCCCGCATACGGCCAGGATGAGGTCAGGGCTGTTGTTCTTGGGACGGCAACAGGAAGCAGAGAGAACAGCAGAAACCTTCAAATGCAGCTTTACTGGGCAAAAAAAAAAAAAGCTTCCGCGGCTGGGAGGACGGATGTGAGTGGGGAAACGGGGGAGTGCAGCCAGAAGAAAAAATAATACACGGGTCTGCCTTATCCTTGCACTTGGCCGTGGGGATGCTTAGGAATCAGCATCTCCTTCCTTGTGCATCCATGTCCCCATTGAACACAGGACATCCTCATACCCTGCAGAAGCCAGACTCTCATGTTCACCCAAGCTGTGAGGTGAAGCAGTGGTTCTGCGTCCCCCTGTGGCTGCCCCACACCAAAGCCCTGAGTCCCAAGTTCCCTCCCAGCCTGGTATGGGGGTGTGGGAATGCAGGGGAAGGGGTATGATGACCAGCTCCAGTTCTCACTTATTTCAGCTGGCAGCTGCCATGGCAATGACATCCCAGCTTGATGTTCCCAGTCCTGAGTGCGAGTTGGGCACCATCAAAACGCCCATAACAAGAGCTCAGACCTCACTGCTGCTAAACATCCAGAGAAGTCTGCTGGAACTGCACACCCAAGCCCTATTTTTAGGTTACGTGCATGCAGAAAAATTTCCTGGCATCTCCGTAAGGCATCTTTGACCTCTCAAGATTGCCCCCCTTGGATGCATGGTGATGTCATGGAGAAGAACAGCTTGTGGGGAGTCCCACACTGCTGACATCCCCCTACACCCCACATCTCCCAAATCCAGGCACCTGCAAATCCCCAGAAACAGCCCCACAATCTGCAACCCCATTGGCAGAGGGAGGAGGCAAAGCCTATTCTTAGAGGGGAAACTGAGGCACAGAGCCCTACCTGCATCCACGGTGCTTGGGTGCCAGGACCTCGAGAGAGGCTGCGTTGCGAACAGGCAGATAAAAAAGGAATAACTGGAAAAGGCAGCCTTAAAAAGCCGGCTGTGCCCAGGGTGGGACAGAATAACAGCATGAGTCAGTGTTTTTTCTGGGCAGCGCTGCACACGTCTGGTTGGGACGGGACGGTCCATGGAAGCAGTGCAGGGACACAGCAGCGTGGGGTCACAGCTTGCACACTCTGCTCTGCCCAGAAACTGTGTTGGACCTCAAAACACAACACTCATCACCAAGCTAAGCAAAAGGAAAATCACCAGCCCCACATCACGCAGCACCCACTGTTGAGTGTAGGACAAGGGTTGAGTGCTGCAATAAGCACTGTGTGATGAGCATCTCTCCTGGGGATGCATCCCAATTCCCTGCACGTTGCAGGGAGCCAGCTGCACAGCACAGTGCCAGCAAGTCAGCTGCATGGCATGGCTGGAAACACAACAGCCCCATGGTGGGAGCTATTCCTGCTGCAAACAAGGAGGATTTGCACCCCATCTGACGGTGTCAACTGGGGTGCTCTGCACAACACTGTGGCTGCTTGGGGACAAAGCCAAGCATATGGTTGGGGACACCATTGGGAGGTTCATGTGGCACCTGCAGAGCCACTCTCAGCAGATCAGAGTTTAGAGGGTGCAAAGAGGAAGGAAAACAAGAGAAGGAAATGGATTTGTCCCTGCTGCTGCCAGGCAGAGGGACATGATTGTGCTCAGGCATGGGGGGGACTTTGGGGCCAGACAAAAAAACTAAGCAAGTGAGAGTAGTGATGACCTACTACAGAGTCCCAGTGCATGGCCCCATAGGTCACCACCATCCCCTACCCAAACCCCAAACCCACTTTGTAATAACAGAGAGGAGAAAACCCTCAGCTGGCTGCATCCCCATGGGGAAAGCAAAGAATTCTTGCTGGCTGCAGCCAACCCCTCCCTGAGCCCCAGATATCGCTCCGCTCCCAACCCAGGTGCAACCCCATGGACACCAAAACCCAGAGGTGTTTACCTCTCAGCCGGATAACTCCCTGCCCTTCTGTGCACGTACAGATTCCATCCCCACTGCTGTCACCCTGTTAAGATTGTGTTGGCCGCCGCAGGGTTTGGTCACTTCTCCACCAGCAGCCGTGGCTATTGCTGAGCTCTCTCATCCCACAGAGGATGTGCTCGCGTTGCCGATGGGAAGATGAGCAAAACCACAGCCTGTGGCACACACAAACACAAAAAAATGCAACCAGACATCAGCTTGGCTCATGCTTGGGAAGGAGGAAGCGATGTAGCGAGGCAGGATGTGGGGATGGGGACCGTGATTTTGAGGCTCTGTGCACAGAGGGGACACGACAGCTCCTTGTGCCACGCATATCATGCTCAGCCCCAAACCTTTTGGAGTTCAGCATTCCACACTGGTGTAGGGCCAGGCACATGCTGTCCCCAGTGTTCCCAGGGTGCGTGGTGGAAGGGAACACATTCCTGCCTCACTAATCCCAGCTGTTGGTGCAGCTGTGACCCACGCACAAAGGTGGGGATGGATCCAGCAGTGTGTCCTCATCCTGGATCACATGGAGACACAAGTGGAGATGGTGGTCACTGTGCTTGAAAAAATTGGGGTTTGCCCGACCATCACTGGGTTCCTCACTAGCATCACCGATGTGGAGTGCACATGGAGCCATCCAGAAATAGCTGTGAAAGTGCAAAACCACCACCACAAACCCCATCATGTGGCATCAGCAATGCCCAACGAGAACTGACACCTGCAGGGACATGCAACGTCCTGCACAGGTGGTGACACTGGTGTGTCCCTCCTCCAGGAGCTGTGAAAGAGGAATCAGACCCAGCTGCGATCCTCACTTCGCATAGTGCTGGGTTACAAAACTGCTGCCCTGGGGCTGAATCAGGAGAAAAGTTGCTGATGCTCTCAGATTGGAGAAAGGAGAAGAGAGAAGAGTCCCCGGGAGGCTGCATGATCCCCTCCCCCCCCCCAAACACCCACAGATGGGGATTTGCCAACAGCTCATGACCGTCACACTGCGGCACTGGGGGCAGGGGGGACCTGGGCATGGGGTGAGAGCAGTAACACACAGCCCAGCAGAGCAAAACCCTTTTGTCATCCTGATGCATTTGGGCAGTGCAGTTCCCATCTCAGCAGCTCCCAGAAGTATTTCAAAGTACCCAAAGTATATATTTTTAAAATGAAACACAGTCTTGCTGCAATGCAGGCGTAGCACAGCCTGGTGCTGCCCCACTCCCCATTGCTCTGTCAGTGGGACCCATCCTAACCCCTCCCAGGGCGAGACACCCCACTTCTTGGGGGGCCCGGCGCCCCCCCCCCGCCTTGGGGACTCCTCCAAAACCATGTAGAGCTGATGCTCATACCTCAGTGGGACCTCTGCCACCACTTCTGCAGTAGGCAGCAATTCTGCACAGGGTCCCTAGGAGTCAGCAGGGGAGGGGGCACAGCGTGAATTCTCCTCTCTTCCCCCTCCATTCCCGGTACCCAATACCTGGAGTTCTGCCACAGCCCTCTCTGCTCTGGGATGAAGGCAGTGAGGAAGAGGAGCTGAGCCCGGTGAGGATGCTGCAGGCAGCGGCGTAGGGCACAGACAGCTTTTAAGGAGAAGGGGAGGGGGAAGGAACAGCAGCAGCATCCTCGGGGTGGTTTTGGCTCCATGAGCAACAGCTGGGAGAGGGTGGGAAAGCTGGCGGGGATCCTGCAGTACATCGCTTCCCGTGAGGCCGCCTTTCCTGGCCCCCAGCCAGGCCCTATAGGGCTGCAGGGCAATGCTGGGCAACACCAGGGGGACACCACAGAGCCAGGTGGCTCCCAGCTGCCCCCAGCCCACTCCGCACTCCCCCCCCCCCCCCTCACCCTCCTGTCCTCCCACCACCCCCAACTCCTTCCAAGACATTGAGTCACTTCCCTTGGTGAAATCTGGCTCCCAAACGCTGCTGCTGCATTTGGGTCTGGGTTTCTCCCATGGCTTTTATTACCATTGGGGTTCAGCTGTTCCCAAGCAGCACCCCCAGGCTCGGCTATAGCACCTCCAGCCTTGTGTGCCTTTCACAGGGGCTGCAAAGCAAACGGAAGGGGCTCCACCTGCTCGTGGCCAGCTCGATCCCAATCCCAGCCAGGCGGTTTTCCGGGGCTGTTCCCATTCTCAGTGAGGACTGAGCAGCTCAGCATCCACCCCCGCAGAGCAGGAGGTTCCAATCACCCTGTGCTTGATGTGGCACTAAGCAAAACCCTTTTCCTCCCCTTCAGCCCCCACAGCACTCAACCCCTGGGTTGGGCTCCACATACACAGCACAGCCATGGGTGTGCAGCAGGTTTGGGGGAAGTGATCCCACTTTTCACATACACGATAATGACACCTTCTGGACAAACCAGCACCAGCACCCTGACCCTTCCCAGGGGGACACTCAGCATCAAAGGAGTGGATGCTCTCCTTGCACGCCCAGCAGCTCCACATCTCTGAATTCACCGACAGCAGCTCCCTCATCGAGCAGTCACAATTCCCAAAAAAATGCACCAGGCTTATCAGACCACACTGTAGTCTTCAGGAGCAGTATGCCCACGGAAGATGATGGCCAGCCCATAACCCAGGGCACACCTTCATCCCACACATCTGAGCCACGCAGACTTTGGGGCAGGAGCACAGCAATGTGCCCTGATGGGATCTGCCTATCCCCAGGTCCTTTCCAGGGCATCTGTAGGGCAGGATGGGATGGGATCGTGCTCACACACCCTTATCCCTGTGCTCAGCAAAACGTGAAGGTAAAAACCACACTGACGTGGGATAAAGCACACCCCAAGTGTCAGCTCTGCAGTTTGGGTTTTCCCTCCCAGGAACACTGTGATGCCACAGAGCCTTGGGAACCCCTCCTAGCCCTCAGCACCTCCCAGATGGTGGGAACCAGCCTGATTCACCCCAGCAGCTGTCACAGTAACAGCAAAGAGAAGGCAGAGCAGACACCCCCCACCTCTCCCTGTGTTTCCCACGCGGGCTGCATGTTGCTCATCGCTCCCTCCATGACCTGTTGTGACAACACGCCCTGCTCCGCATCCCATCCGAGTGGAAACGAAAGCTCACTGCAAAAATAAAGAAGCCCACATACAGGATGTCAAAGAGACGACTCCGCTTTCCATGTTCCACTGATTCGGTACAATCACGGAAAAAACAGTCCCAAGCTTGTGCAACTCACAGCTTATAAATAGCAGCACAGAGCCCAGCAGGGCTGCTGGCAGGCAGGGCTGTGCTCACTGACTGCCCCATGCTGCTGCAAGTTGAGCTGCAGGAGGCACCGTGCTCCATTCATTGCATCCCACTGCAACCCCCATTCACTGAACCCCCCTGAAGCCCCATTCATTGCACCTTCCATTCATTGCGCCCCATTGCTGGGGTGAGGATGGCATCCTATATATACCCTTGTGAGCCTGAGGTATTCTTTTAACCCCAAAGCCACCCACCCCTTCCCCTCAGCGCTGGCTAGGCGCAATTAGTTAATTAGCCACTGGAGGTAATTAACCCAGCTCACGAAAAGAGGCGATGAAGGCACAAGCAGAGCCTTGCAAAGCTAAATCCTCGTGCATTTATCCACAGCCTAGTGATTTGGAAACCCTCCTTCAGACTACACCACACAAAAGATGCATTTACCATACCTGAACAGGGCCACGCAGCTCCCTTCACAGCTCAAGCATCCTGCTGGGCACTGGGGGTGCTCAGAATCACAAGCAGAAGATGCATGCTGCCAGAGGTCATCTTTTGGCATCCAAATGCCATTGATGCTGTGGGCTATGGGTGCTCTGTGGGGCCATCATTGGGGAATCACTTAGCAGTGATGGATGTGCCCACACTGAGCGATTCATTGGCAGCTCCATGTTTGTGTCAAGAGCCATTTACAGCTCCCAGCACAGAGATGAGGGATTACAGGGCACGGGCAGTTTGTTTTTCATTTTAAGCCCCAGCATAGGGCATCCTTTTCTATGTTACCCTTGTTCCTCACCTTCAAATGCCTCCTGCAGGTGATGGACAGACACCAACAGCAGGGATTTACAAGCAGAGACGGCTCTTTACACCAGATTCCCACTGAGGATTTGATTCCTGCAGAAGCAATGCAGCCCCTGCTCTCTCACCAAAAGAGCTTTTGGAGCACTAAAAGCCACAGAAGAGAGAATGAGTGCCTCTGGAATCAAAGATGAGGAGCAGCACCATGCTCCTGCACATGGCACTTCTTCTCCTAGAGCTCATTAGGGGCTCATTAAGCTTCAGCAAGAACTGCAGGGTGCTCCAGCCAAAACAAGCAGCAAAGGATGAAACATCCTGAGCCCTGATTGCCCATAGTCCTGACACACTGCTCCACACCATCCATCATCAGCTACTTGAGGAGGTCTTTCAGCCTGCCCACTCTGCTCTACTCTTGCCTCTTCTCTACCCAGGCTCACAGCTTTGCCTCTCACCCATAGACATCAAATAGAGCCCCAAATCTTCCTCCCTTTCAGCTTTGTTTCACAGAAGAATCTCTTTCACCTAACTTAGGCCAATCCCACTGGAGGGAGCATGCTCTCTGCTTAATGAGGTGGAGGGTTAATGAGCAACAGCTGGGACTTCTAGGACAATCATTGACCCTGGGTACACAGTGGTTCCTCATCAGGCTGCAGCTGAGCAGAATTTGGCTTCAACCAGCCCTGCTTTAAATGATAGCTCAGAGTAAGCCTTCAGTAGAGGGGTGTCTTCATGATGCCTACAGGTGGTGTCTGTGGTTGTCATCAGCCCATCATTGGCATCATCCTACAGGGAAACATACAGTGCCCACCTTTAGAAGAAGGTTTGGGGGTAGGGTGAACTGAAAATGTGAAAGTTTGCATGTGGGTTCCTTTAGTTTCACCTCAAAGTTCCCATTTTTACAGCCCAGGCAAAATTAAGAAAATGTGTGATTAAAGCTGCTAGCAGCAGAAAGTGAGCATCTGTGCCAGCAACTGAGGTCAGGTTGGATTTTGTTAATGAAGGAAGCTGTTTGATGCCTTTCCCATCAAGGTGATGGAATATGATGGAGTAAATAGTGGCAGTTGCCTGGGGGGACACAGAGAGACTGGTTTTAGGAACCCATTAGGTGGTTTTGGAATCATCTCATCCTATCCTGTTGTATCCTATCCCACTCCATCTCATCCCAACTCAACCCATTCATATCCCATTCCTCACCACCAGTTGCTGGGAAGCGGCACAGCCACTGTTTTACTTTGTGAAGTCCCAGTGAAAGGTCATTTTTGGTCTCCTTTCTGCCCCAAACTCTGGGTGCAGATCTCAGCATGGTACGACCCTGAAGCCATAAGCCTGCTCCTGAAAATTATTTAAGAAATAATTAATGTCAGAATATTTAAAAAGGGATTAATTAGTGTTGTTGATGGAAGCCAGATCTAGAATTTGCCTTGGAAAGAAAACAAATCAGAGCCCAAAAGGGAGCACAGGGAGCAAAAGCTGTGCCAGAGAGCTGCACGCAAATGTTCCGTGTCACATTATACAGAATTAATGCTTCGGATTGTCTGCGCAGATGAAAAGTCTTTAACCTAAAGAATCAATTAAGTTTCCTTGCAGACAGCCTAATCTAACCCATGGGGGACTTTGGAGGGAGTGCAGCCCCTCGCCTCTCCTGCAGGCAGCTGTAAATCTCTGCCTCATTACCCAGCAGTGAGAGCACCCCGGAGCAAACTTGGCTACAGCATCACCACCATCATCCACTGACAGAGAGCTGGTGCTGCCCCACCCCTGCACACAGCCACGGTCAGAGCACGGGGCTGTGGGCACTGATGGGGCTGTGGGTGTCCCTGTGCACTGCAGGCAGTGGGAACAGAGGGCCTTTGGGGGTCCCTTCCAACTCAAAACCATTCTATGGTTCTGCGATCACCTGTTTGGCACAAAGTCCCCATAAACTCCATGGCACGATTGATGCCAGGAGTCAGTGGGGACCAATTCCTGGCAGCTGCGTGCCCAGCACAGCAGGGAATGCTTCCCATTTCCCCAGCTCTTGTTGCAGTGGGAGTGGGATCTGCTGGCAGGAGGCAAGGGAAGGGAGAAGGCCTCTTGCGCTGGCCCCATTCCTGCAGCAACACAGACAAGGTGAGATACACAAACCCAAGCCTCAGCTCCCATTCAATCCCTTCCCAACAGGAGCAGTGAGCCCAGCAGTGAGAAGCAGCCTTTGCTGCAGGGGCTGCCAATTCCATCCCCGTTAATTGAATCAGCTTTGCCTCTGCTTTATGTCCTGTGACAAGGAGGCATAATGATATTTTAAAATGCCATCATTTTACACCAAAAGATTATTAATAATTCAGCAACAACAACAACAAAACGCAATCAGAGGGAGCAGCCTGAGGTCCAAGTGAATTTCAGAGATTCATGGTGCTGGTACAGTGATTTCATGTCCCACTGGGTGCAGATGTGGGACAAAGGGGATGGTGGCAGCCCGGGTCCCCTCGGTGCCACAAAGCCACAATGCAGCTCAGGTCTGTGCCCAGCTTGGAGCCATGACTGCATCATTCTTTCATCCCCAGCGCTATTGGAAATCACCCGGCTGTGCTCACACCATAAAAAGAGAAGGAAATGCAGTCAGATTTCAGATTGCC